ACTCTGCGGACAGCCAGAGCGTATTAAACGCTGCTGTGTGTGCACCCCGGAGGTCCACGGAGTCGTCCCCGCGGACGCCAGTGATCTACGTCGCCGCAGAGCACGGGCGCCTCCGTGGATGTCGCGCGCTACCTGTCAGAACCCTGAAGATGAGGAGGCCCGGGGGCGGGGGGGGGGGGGCGGACGGCCCGGCCCGGCTGACCCGGTCCGGCTGACCCGGTCCGACCCAGCGACTGACGGCCAGTGCCGGTGCCGGTGGCCGCGGCAGGCGGCGCAGCAGCGCGCGTCGCTGGGCGTCGGCGCCGCGAACGGTCCTCCAGGTACGCGCCCGACAGTAGATCCCGGCACCAACAGTAGATCCCGACAGCCAACAGAAGATCCCGGCACCGGGTCTTGTTGTCCGTCGGGACTTGAGACACGCCGCCAGACAGTGGCCCACAGTCTTGGTCATGGTTGGGGTGGCCGGGACTGGTTTTCATGCCGCTTCGGTTCCACAGGTCACGCAGTAAAGCTCTCCTATGTATGCATTGTTGTCGGTGGGGCGCGCCAGTGAACAAACCAGAGTCAGCCGGTGTCTTCGGCGCCAGCGCCGATCGTAGCAGGCTGACTGACCGGGCGGTCCTACGCCCGTACCCGCTCACGCAGCCACGCAGCACCAGCTTCGGCGAGCGTGTCCGGCCGTCTGACTCACGAGGGCGCGCGCTGCCGGCGGGGAAGCTTTGTAGCTCCTTGTAGGGGCCCCGGCCACCACCGCAGTTTGTCTGCCCGCTCAATTTTCGATCCAAACACCTGTAGGAAATAAAAAGAAGGCTCCATGTGTTGGGAATTGTGCGTTCTTGTGTTGGCACAATCCTCGCCAATTGGTATATAGTCTCAAGTCATTGTATATATATATATATATATATATATATATATATATATATATATGTCCCTTTTGTCTTTGCGCATGCATTCCTAGAAGTAATACGAGTGTCAAACTGCCTTTGGTAACACCAGTACATGCACGACCTCCTGACGCAGACGTGCCTACGGCCGCTGTGTCATCCCGGCCGACTATGTGTGGTCACGGCCTGGCCGCCGGTCCATGGGTACACATCGGACGTCAGCCGACCCGGCAGGGGAGGGGGAGGAGGACGGGCAGAGGTTGAGCCGCCGGTCCATGGGTACACATCGGACGTCAGCCGACCCGGCAGGGGAGGGGGGAGGAGGACGGGCAGAGGTTGAGCCGCCGGTCCATGGGTACACGTCGGACGTCAGCCGACCCGGCAGGGGAGGGGGGAGGAAGACGGGTAGAGGTTGAGCCGCCGGTCCATGGGTACACGTCGGACGCCGGCCGACCCGGCAGGGGAGGGGGGGGGGAGGAAGACGGGCAGAGGTTGAGCCGCCGGTCCATGGGTACACGTCGGACGCCGGCCGACCCGGGAGGGGGGGGGGGGAGAGTGGGGAGAGGCTTAGACGTCGGTCCATGGGCACGCGTCGGACGCCGGCCGAGCCTGGCGGGCGGGGAGAGGCTGAGCCGCGCGGTCTCAGCCCGGCGGCGGCTGTGACCCAGGGGGGCGGTACGTCGCTGGCTCCGTCGGTCCTGCCACGCCCGCCGTCTGGCGATATGCGGTACTGTCTGGCGGAAGCCGATCGAGCCTGAGATGCAGAAGCCATGTCTGCTAACTGGTGCGGAACGGGTCACTGTCGACTCATGCGCACCGCCGGAGCCGAGGAGGCTCCGCAGTTGGACATGTCCGCATCAGGTCACCGTCTCGGCTCTACCCGTTATTTTTGCAAGGACGTGCTTGCCAAAGACGGCCGAGGCTGCATATTGCCCGTTCTCAGCACGTGCGGTCGTGGTTTGCTTCGCCTTAGCACCTTGCAAATGAATACCCCCATGCTATGTTGGCGGAGGCTGCGAGGCTCTGGTAGAACCTCCCTCCGATTTACTGGCTCGAGCCTCCTGTCGATATTTCCAGGCTACGATATGAGGCGTATGAGCGTTGTCGGCTCATTGGGCCCGTGTTTGGCACGGAGCCCGTGAAGCGTTGTGAAAACACGGCTGTAGCCATGACGTGCCCCCTCCAGCTCACCGATTTTGGAAACGGTCCCGGCTAGGCCGCGCGGCCGCCGCCGCGCCGCCCGGGCCGCGCTCCGGCCGCCGGCGAGCGTGACGCGCGCCCCCGATCGCGGCCGCCGACCAATGGCGGCCGGCCGGCGGCGTGACGTCACGGCGCGCGCGCCCGGCCGCCGCGCCGCGCCGGCCGGCAGCTGGCGGGCCAGGTGCGGCCGCCCGGCGCGCGCGTTGTGACGTCACGGCGGCGCGCCGGCGCCGGTCCCCTGGCGGGCGGACGCGCTGCCTTTGATCAGCGTCCCTCGCTACTCGGGGAATTGTTGTGTTCGTGCTGGTATGGATTGGCGAGCGAGGCGTGGCCAGCCACGGGTTTCTGATTCTTGGAAAACGTATTTTATGCTTCAGAAAACATGGTAGATCCAACAGAGTTTCGCCGTTTCGTACGTAGACTTGAACTTCGGACCTCGGCCGGCATACACTGTCTCCGTTTTCAACTCCGCGCAGCCAGGTGTGCGTGTGCGGCGGCCGCGTGCTCTGTCTTGCTGCGGTGGCGTGACGGCGTCACGTGCAGTCACGCTGTCCGAGCCTCGGTGGCCATCCGCCTCTGATGGCCCCCCGCGGCGGGTCTGCCGCGCCCTCGAGCGTCGTCACGTCCGTGACGTGACGTCCAGAGGCAGACGGGTCGGGTCGGGTCCGGCACCGGAAGCGGCAGTGACGGGGTACCGAATATAGTGATGATGAAACGGTAATGATATGTGATGGGGTGTAATATGATGGTTGTCCTGTTCACATCATATAGTAATGATGTATGATGTGGTGAGGACAACCATCCACACGGAATGAGCTGTACGGCATGCAGCAGTGCGATATGGTGGCTAGTCCTCTCCAAATTCACAACGCGGTTTGCGCGATCATCGCGGGGTGTGCTGCACAGCCGTGATTTGCCAGGCCCGCCTCCTCTCTGCACTGTGCACTTATTCGCACAGCCCAGGCCCTACGAGTGTCCGGTGCTGGTAGGCCGGCGCCCAGTGTTAGATCGCTCACCGGTCCCCCACCCCCGCTTCAGTGCCAGTCAATCAGCACGTGTCCGTCAGCGGGCTGCCCCTCTCTGTGGAGGCCGGTGAGTGTGCTTTCCGCGGGCGTCTGGGTCTTGAATCTACTTCACCGTGTTGAGGGCGAGGCGTGAGGGCGTTTCGGCGGCCGTTAGAGTAATCTTACGACACCGACCATATGGGCGTCAGCCAATTTGTACGAACGACTTTAAACGGCGCTGACGTTTACTTTTATCTCGGACCTTTTGGGCTTAATGTAGCCCCATATTTCGGCGCTCCCTTAACCCAATCACAATGACACTGAAGCTCTGGGGAAGACTTTCAAGTAAGCCCAATAAGATAAGCCTGCACTGTCCAGGGTCAGGACTGCTGAACGCATGTCCGGCGTTCTCCCCCCGTCCGGTGTATTCTATCAGCCGATGTCCGGTTGGCCAGAGCGCGACCGCCTGCGGCCGCCCGCGGTCGCCCGCGGTCGGCGGCGGCGGCGGCCGTGCGTCGCTGGGCGGAAGTGGCCGCGTGCTCCGTCGCCTCGGCGGGCGGGCGTCGATACCGACGGCGCCGGGGGGCGACGGTGGCGTCACCGTCGGCCGCGCGGCGAACCATCTGCCCGCCGCCGCTCGTCGGCGCCGGCCGGGAGCGTCGCGGAACTACCGCGCGTGTCCTGCCTTCACGGCCGGCCGGTGATTTCGTGTCGGAGTGGGTCCGACAAGTTGCAGACGTCGCTTCCGGCAGCTTTGCTCCGCGCAGGGGTGTCAGTGGAGATGCGGACCAGACTTCGCACTTTGTATAAGAAAGACGCCCTTGAGCTGCTGGTTTCGCGGCATTATAAGTCGGGAGGACGGATGCCAGAAACAAGCTGCCTTCGCGATACCGGAAGGCACTGGTTGTTGGTCAAACGCTAAACATTTGGTTAAACATTGCTGGTTAACCATTACGCTACGCGACACACACGGCTGTGCCAGAGTGTGTGCAGCAGCAGGAAGTATGGTCAGGATTTTTCGAACTGGCGCCTGCGTGCTAGGCTTACACTGTGCATGTGTTGCTATTGCCGAAGCTCATCTGCAGTTATAATAACAGATATTTATTAATACTATTACATTATTTGTTAACACAGCAGTGAAACACCCCACAGCGGGTTTGTTGCTTGGCACAGCTTGGTGTGCCTGTCCGGTTTATGGAGGCGTAGTGCGCTGTCTGCGCCTGTTAAACGGAAGGAATGTGTACTACGCTTAACAGTGCCGCCGTGCCGTGAGCAAGACGTGGCGTGCTGGAGACAGGAAAGCATGTCTTCGAGCCTCGGACATCCGTGTGCTGCTGCAGGAGTGGTTGTGTTTTGTTCTCTTTTCGCGAGATATTTCGCGTGGGTCCGGAAAGCACGTGGCGCTATTCAAGCGGGATCCTCCAAGACTAAACCTCCGAAACGGCCACGTAACTGGCGGGCGGTAATGGGATGCTGATGAGGACGGGCGGCGCCGTACTTGGTTATCTGATGGGAGCCGGGCTGCCGGCAAGCGGGTCCTACCCGGCTGAGGACGCTCGGTCGAGCTGATAGCCGTCTAGAACCGTGATGTGATGATGGGTGCGGCTGCGCTTGGTCGGGCACCCCGCCAGCGGTCGTGGGGTGGCCGTCAATATGTCCAGTAGTACGACGGTAGCACGTGCATGCGTAGCAGAGGCAGCATTGGACAGGTACAGGCCCGACGGCAGCTGTGCCGGACAGACAGCGGCGCATCCGCGGTGGTGTGGGGCAGAGACCGCGTTGCCGCCGCCCGCTGCCCACCGCCCGCCGCCCGCCGCCCGCCGCCCGCCGCCCGCTGCCCACCGCCCGCCGCCCGCCGCCCGGCTGCCGCCCGCCCCACAGACGTGACCGCCACGCCTCCTCCGCCCGGCAGGTACCACGATGAGCTGCCAAAGAAGATCCTGTCACGCGCCAAAGAGGGTGGCTACCTGACCCACGAGGAGCTGGTGCAGACTATCAAATGGAAACTGGCCGTGAGTAGCCCGCGCCCGGCCGTCTCTCAGCGGCCAGTGTCAGCAAAACGGACCGTTAGCTGAATTAGCACTAAAAGCTTGTGATGCCGGCGTTTGCAGCCGGGGTGGTGCTGACAGCAGGCTCGTTTGTCGTGAAATAGCGGCGAGCGGCACCGCTGCCAAATGGCTAACAGACGGCAGATTGGCAGCGTGGTCGAGATCGGAGTCGTATCAGCTTGCGCCCAGTTTGGAGATAGTTTGGTTTCGTTGTCTAGGCGAAGGCGTGTTGGTCTCGGGAGTGTGTTGACCTCACCTTTGCCTCGCACCAGCTGTGTCGCCGTTGGATTCCCGTATCCGACGCGCCGCTCTCGTCTGTCTGTCCTGCGCCCTGACCTGACCTCGCCTGACCCCCGCAGCGCGGCAAATGGCGTCCGAGACTGCGGGAGCTGGTGACGATGAACACGCCGCGGCTGGTCCAGCTGGAGACCAAGAAGGCGATCCGCCAGCTGCTGAAGAAGGACGACCTCAACGCCGCCATCCAGGCCATGTGCAACCTGAAGGGTGTCGGGCCGGCCATGGCGTCAGGTGAGCCGCGACGTCCCGCCCGCCTGTCCCAGCCATTGTTGGCCGATTTGTTCGACCGGGTTGCGAGCAATAGTGATAAACGGCCCAACGTGTTCTGTTGGAGTGTGAGTCCCCGTACAGGCTTTGGTCTGACTGACAATCTAGTGTGGGGCGTCTGGACCGCGCCGATAGGCTGTGTGGTGTCTGAACCGCATGGACAGGCTGCCTGGTGTCTGGATCACGTGGATGCGTGGCTGAATGGTGTCTGGACCGCATGGACAGGCTGCCTGGTGTCTGGACCACGTGGATGCGTGGCTGAATGGTGTTTGGACCGCATGGATAGGCTGTCTGGTGTCTAGGCCACGTGGATGCGTGGCTGAATGGTGTCTGGACCACGCGGATGCCTGGCTGAATGGTGTCTGGACCGCGTGGATAGGCTGCCTGGTGTCTGGACCACGCGGATGCGTGGCTGAATGGTGTCTGGACCACGCGGATGCCTGGCTGAATGGTGTCTGGACCGCGTGGATAGGCTGCCTGGTGTCTGGACCACGCGGATGTCTAGCTGCTTGGTGTCTGGGCCACGCGGATGCCTGGCTGCCTGGTGTCTGGACCGCGTGGATAGGCTGTCGGCGGGGCAGACTCGGACAACTTCATAAGTGCGACTGCAGACGGGCAAACAGCGGGTGTTTGGCACGAACTCCAGGTTGATCCGACCACACAATCCGATGACCACAAATCCGAAATGGAGCGGTTCGTGTTTCCGTTCAGAGGCGTGTTCCCTGGTATCCGGAGCAGGCGCCGAAGACCGAACCGTACCGTGCCGTTCCCCGTCCCTGTCCCACCCTCCCCCGCCCCCTGGGGCTTTCGGCCCCCCCGGACCGACCTCTGTCGGTGCTGAAGACCGAGTCATATCCCCAGCCCCCCCCCCGGGGCTCCTGGCCTCTTCGCACCGGCCTCTGTCGATGCCAGAGGCCGAGCCGTGCTGCGTCGCCCCCCCCCCCCCCTCTCCCTCCCGGGTCTCTCGGCCCCTCGGACCGGCCTCTCTCGGCACCGGCCGCTACGCCGCACTCCCACCCGTCCACACGGTGACCGCTGTGTCTGCGCCGCCCCGCTGACCGCCGCCGCCCTGTGCGCCGCAGCCGTGCTGTCGGTGGCGCAGCCGGACAAGATCCCGTTCATGTCCGACGAGTGCATGCTGGCCATACCGGACGTCGAGGGCTCCATCGACTACACCAACAAGGAGTACCTGCGCATGGTGGCGCACGTGCAGACCGCCTGCCAGCGGCTGTCGCAGAACGGTGAGCGGCGGCCGCGGCGAGGCCGCGCGTTTGCAGGCGCCCGCCGTGTGGCGGCAGGACCGCAATCGCCAGCGGGCCGGCTGGCTGGAGGACTGTAGAAGCAAACGCGGCAGGCTGGCTGCTGACCATCTGCGGCGCGCGCATGACGAGGGATGCGGCCTTCCGGTGTGGATGCAGTGACTGGGCAGGGTATTGCGCCGGGATTTGATTGTTCGGATCGTTGTTGGGCGTCACCGATGTTGGAGAGCGCGGTGACTCACGTCTGCTACCTGTTGCTAGGATTTCAGTGTTGTGTCGGGTTATGAGGTACGCCAGGAGTGGACATCTTCTGGCGTTTGGGATGTTGATCACAGCTTATCTTGTCTAGCGCGGTGTCCGCTGCCCGTCGCGGGCGCAGCCGTGCGCTGGACTCGGCTCCGCTAACGCACTGCCATCTGTCGTCGCGCCGCGCAGGTAACAGTGAGTGGACGCCCCACAAGATCGAGCAGGTGGTGTTCGCGCACCACGTGATTGCCAACAACAAGCCGGAGCTGCTGGACGGCATGCCGGGCTTCACATCTAACGGAGACGCCAACGGCGGGGGCGACAGCAGCGAGGTGAGCTTCTGCTGTGGCGACGGTGGCTGAGCGGGTGGTGTGTGTCGTGGCGACGGTAGCTGAGGGGGTGGTGCGCGTTGTGGAGAGGAATAAGAGCGAGGTGAGTCAGCCGCCGTGGCGACGGTAGCGAGGAGGTGGTATGTGTCGTGGAGGGAAGTAAGAGCGAGGTGAGCCAGCCGCCGTGGCGACGGTAGTGAGGGGCTGGTGTGTGTCGGGGGGGGGGGGGGGGTGGGAGGGAGTAAGGGCCGGATGGTCGGTGCCTGGAATTCCACGTGGGGGAGGGGGATCCGGGCTCGAATCCTGGTAGGAACACGGCTCCTGAGTGCTACATGGTCAATACAGCTTGCTGTTGCTTCTGAAAAGAGGATGACGACGTCCGTTGCGTTCCCTTAAAAAGGCCTATGTCATGGACCAGGGGATGCAAGTGGGTTCAGTGCCGGCTTGAGGAAACTTTCACTGGTCCGCACTGGCACCACAGTTGGGCACCCTATTGCCATTGGCGGTTTCACGTGCCCCTGAACACCGGCGGTGGCGGGATGGGCCATTGCGCAAAGCTTGGAGGCGGTTGCCTGGGGGTCATTGTTCCAGGGGAGGCCTGACGCCGTAGCGACGCGTGTGTGCCATTAGCGGCTCCCGGTATAGCTGGGGAACTCGTCTGTGAGCCAGTGCAGGACTAGTGACGATGTTGGCGCGGGATGGGTGCGTCCCGTCGTCCGTACTGTGTTCCCGTTGGGATAGCCGCCGACGGAGGCCCGGAATGTTGCTTCTACACGGCCGCGGAACTGCGACTAGTGGCATTTGCCCCTGAAGCTACTGCGGCGTGTTCAGTGTGTCGTGTTCGCTCGGACGCGTAGGGCGAGTGCTTTGCCACACAGTTCCGTGTGAGCCAGCCGGCACGTGCGGGCGGGTCCCTCTGTGTCATCCTCTGTGAAGGCCACTGGCTGTTTCTGGGCACGGGCACCCCGGTCTGACTGTGCTGTCCTCTCGCACCACAGAACGGCGCCGCCGTGGAAGAGCTGAAGCAGGTGGACACGGAGGCCAAGGTGAGCTGGCGCCCCGCGCAGGCCGGGACGAGCGGCGGCGGTTGAGATGGTCCGATACACGGACTGGGATCGTGCGCTGGACGTATTTGATAGACGGTCGTGCGCTTGACGTATTTGATCGGCAGTCGTGCGTATGGCGTGTCTGATCGACGGTCGTGCGCTTGACATATTTGATCGACAGTCGTGCGTATGGCGTGTTTGATCGACGGTCGTGCGCTTGACATATTTGATCGACAGTCGTGCGTATGGCGTATTTGATCGACAGACGTGCGTACGGCGTATTTGATCGACAGTCGTGCGTATGACGTATTTGATCGACAGTCGTGCGTATGACGTATTTGATCGACAGTCGCGCGTATGACGTATTTGATCCACTTTGGATGAAACAATAGGCGCTTCGTGAAGCCAGTGAATCAGTACTGCTGCCCAGCCCAGTCCGGCCCAGCCCAGAGTCGTCTCCGCACCATTCGTCGGTGCTCCCGTTTGTGTTCTGTCCCGTGAGAGGTCGCTGTGGGCTGTGATCGGGTGTTGGAGCGCATGCCGGACTCCGTGTGTGTGTCTGTTGCTGTGGCTGTCTCTTCCCGCCTCCTGTCTGCTGTGGCAGCGTTGGCCCGGTGGGCGTCTGTGCACTCTGAGATGTACCGCAGTCTTGCGTGACCGCCGCCGTCTGCGTATCCCTGGCGTCCCCCGTGTTGAGCTGGCCTCGGTCTGATGGGTGGTTACGTGTGGCGGCGTCTGCCTCTCTCCGTGCCGGCGTCCCCCGTGTTGAGCTGACCTCAGTCTGATGGGCGGTCACTTGTGGCGGCGTCTGCCTCTCTCCGTGCCGGCGTCCCCCTGGCGCTGGGCTGTGACCTCAGTCTGATGGGCGGTCACGTGTGGCGGCGTCTGCCTCTCCCCGGCGTCCCCCGTGATGAGCTGGGCTCGGTCTGATGGGCGGTCACGTGCGGCGGCAGGCCAACGGCGACCAGAGCCTACCGGGCGAGCCCGGCGGCTCGACGGAAAACAGCTGCGATGGCGCCGCCTCCACCTCGGCCGCCGAATTGGACGACTGCACCAACGACTCGGTGCGTGTCCGCCGGCCTCTGTCGCCCGGCTTCGCTCGCTTTCTGCCGGCCATCCACGGTCCCTATCCCGTCTTCTTCTGAGCTGTTGGACGACTGCAAACGTTTGTCAAAGATTGGGTTGTTTGTGTGTCAGCGTAGCAGCGGCTGGCGTGTACGGAATGTGTCATCGTGAATTCTGTTACGTCATCTGTTCATGTTGCATACATTGTGCACAAGCTTGCGTCGCGCTTTGCTTGCGCGGTGTGCAGGCCGTCTATTGGTGTGGTACGCTGTGAGACCGCCTCCCCCACCGCGACGCCACCGGTCCGATGCGCGCTACGGTCCCCGGAGTCGTGCGGCTGCACCAGCACCTCTATTCGTCCCCCTCGCTCAGCAGTCGGTCCAGTGACGGCGCCGATGCCGCCGAGCTCGTCCCGGTACGCCGCCGGCGGTGTGACAGAGCCGTGACGAACCTGTGCTTGCAGATTCCGTCAACAGAGGCCTCTTCGGGCATCGCCCCGTTCGAAGACTCCAACATGGGCGACGAGTCGAACTTTGAAGACATCTCAAACACCGGCGATGAATCAAACACGGCGGAGGACGGCATTCTGGTGAGCGGTCGCCGAGGGTGCGGCTGGCGGCTGGGCCTGCTCAGCGCAGGACGGCAGAGGCCGCCGAGCACGTGCATTGTTTGTCAGCAGCTGAAATGTTGTCATTTGGTGTGTGAGCAGCTTTAGTGCAGTTTGCTGTGGCATTTAGAAAGGTCCGGTCATGACGACGCTTACAATCAATGTTTGTGGTTCTAGACGCTGAATGTAGGATGGCCAAAATGAGATGGCGTCATGTCAGGTTTATTTAAAGATCTTGTTCGACACGCGATGTAGGCAGTACGTGGTCTCTGGCTGCTGCGTGCTGGAGTTGTTTGTGTATTCCACAAGTGTGCAAGCATCTTATGCGCTCGATTTTGCCGTGTGCCCACCACTGTACATGTGTCCATTGTCTGGTCGCTGCCCTGTTCCCCGGGTGGGCGTGCTCGGCCCCGCTCCTCTGACCCGTGTGCTTCGCCGACCCCCTCCCGGCTAACCCGCGCTCCGGCCGCCGGCAGTCGGCCGCCGACGACTCGGTCTCGATGCCGCCGCCGGCCGCGCCCGCCGCCGACGAGCCGGCCGACGAGCCGAAGCGGAGCGCGGACGAGCGCCAGAGCGAGGACGAGCCGGCGGCCAAGCGCGCCAAGCCGGATGGGCCGGGCGCCGAGTAAGCGGCGGCCGGCGGACGCGCGTACGCCGGCGACACTACACCACACACATAGTACACATTATGCCAGGGACGCGTCGCCTGGGCCGTCGGACGCCGGCGCGACTATTTTTATAGACATACCTCTGCGGCGGGACGGGCGTTCGCGGGCTGGCGGGCCGTTTCCATTCCAGTGTTGGCCGGCGGCGCGGCCGTGGCGGCGCGCCAGCGGCGGTCGCGCCGCCCCTCATCCGCACACAATACATTCAGACGATGAGCCGCCTGTTTTCTGGGGAGAGGAGTGGCGGTGTCGCCGGAGAGCGGTGGTGGACGCGGCGGTGCTGGAGGTGCGCCCGTCGACTGCGGACGTCCGGTCAGGTTCAGCGGCCGGGCAGCTGCGGAGTAAGACGCGGGTGGAGACGGCACGCTGCCCTGTGTTCGGTGTGAGCCTGACAGCTGCCCGTGCCTGCGCTATCCGTACACGAACTTCAGCTCCACGGCGAGAAAATGTCAAATGCGTCGTTGGCTCCTTTTCATTGCTAGCCGATTGATTTGCTTTTCACGCGCCTAACTCGTTTCCAGCGCGTACGCTCGCACGAGGCTGGAGTGCAGCCAAATTGAACAATCTGGGGCTTTGTAGTCTATGCCTCTGTTCCGCACTCAGTGTGGAGTGCACCCGCGTGGGATATGCGCTTAGCTGTGTCATTATGCTCTTCAGCAATTTGACCGATTGCTTTGTAGGGATGAGCTCCTTCGAGATCAGTAGCTGCTAAGCGTAAGCTATTGCGGCAACGTGAACTGCACTAACCCGTGGACTAATGCCAGCTAAACGGGTGGTTTGTGTCCGTTCGGTTCAGTTTTTCTTTCAGTGAGTTGAATTCGTATTTATGGCTATAGCGTGCCTCGCAGCGTTCCTTCAGACCGCCAGGAAAGTCGTTGGCTGGTGTCTTGACATACAGAGCTCCTTGGTCTCATCCACGATGGGCAGTAATACCTCTAGCAGCTGTTTTGCCAGCGCCGTTGTAAGATCATTATTACCGTGAACGGAAAGATAGGCGTGCCAGCGGGCTGTAAATGATCTATATGGAATGGCCGAAATTGTGTGGCCTCAATGGCTTGGACCATCCTGCCAGATTTTTGGCGAGCTTACGTCGTTCAACCACTGCACTCACCGGCCCTGTTGGAAAGGCACCGGCAATAAGCGGCGCAGTGCTTTGAAGCCTGCATTGTAACGTTTTTAAGCCATTAGTATGCACGCTGTATGATCGCGTGAGATTCTTTTCCATAATCCGATATCACTAATTATGTCTACGTCCCATGGTTCGGTTGGTTGGGTGGGAAAATATTGAAATTGCGAAGAAGCTGAAAACACTAATGGAAACTTGATCGATACGCCAACGGTCAGGCGCAGTAGCGACGAAAGACCAACGCGGCTTAACGGGAGAGAAAATAGGTAATCTATATGACAAAAATGTGGGCCCATGTTTGCAGTGAAGCACTGATGATGGAAAGCATGGATCCGTCGCTTCGGAATGTTTTTTTTTGCGATAGTCACCTCGGCAGCCAGAGCGAGAAAAGGCGTAAAACCGACTCCAGTGCACGTGACGCCAGTTACAGGCGCGTGCACCGCCTACAAATGATGAACGATGCCAGCACCGTCCGACCCAGGTCCGACCAAAAAGTGCGTCAGTTGCAAATTGGGCCGTCGATTTGAACTTCTCGAAACCGGCCCCGAGTATAGCACGCTGTGGCTTAAATCAAGGGAGACTGCCAACGAAACTGCATGGACTGAGGCTCGCTGTTGTGCAACCAATATCTGTCCAGAATATATGCGTTTTTCACTGATTCTGTCACATGTACCAAAAACGTAAGCTGCCCCGAATTCGTCGATCCGTCTGCTAGAGGTGCCGTACATGCCGTCTGGTAGAGGTGCGGTGATGCCGTACATTAACGCCGTGCCTTTGTGCGGGCTCTCGAAGGCGGCGGACTGGAATCGTTTCTATTTGTGTGTCGTTTACATGGTCATATCCCTCAAGTCTGTGATCACCCGCTCGCCATGTGCCGTAAAACGCATTTTACTGCTTCATGGGATGGCGTATCGTCGTGATAAAAGACAAAGAAGATGTTATATCGAGCATTTCCCGTCCCAAATTGGTTACGCTATCGACAAGTATGATCCTAACAATGGTGATAAAAATGTTTTGAAAAATACCATCCACCATCATGTGGAAAAATACCATCCACCATCACGTGGATGAAAGGGAGGGCTCGAATCCTGGTTGCACCGTACTCTCTAAGTACACAAATATGGCTGCTGCAGTCGCCGGTGCCTCACAGACGTGCGCATGACGAAGCTCATCACGTTCGCTTCAAGAAACTTGGGTTTCCGTCCTGGTCCCTCTTCTGAGCGGTGGTTGGTTCTCGCCTGGTTTTGGAACGCATGCCTAATGTGGTCTTTCAAGCAACGCGCATGTCCGACATGTCTTTCAAACCTTTGAGGCGGTCGCCTCGTCCAGTAGAGCTACAGTGCGCGGAGCAGAGATCAGTGGTGCTCAAATGGAGTGGTCATTTGACGGCGGCAGTTCGAAGACGTTAATTACGCACTGATGCCTAGTTTATCGGCTCGATGGGTTTGGTCCACTAGTTCTAAGGCCCACTCCAGGGGAACAACCGCCGTGCTCAACCGACAACGCCTTGTGCTGTCTACCAACGGGAAGTGGTGACCGTTGTGTGCATGCCGAGCCGCACCGAGATTACCGGAAAGAATCGACAGTGGCGCTGCGAACGCAACAGCGCTACAGATACACACCATCGTGAGGATGTCCCTGCAACTGGCATGGTTGGGGCTACAAGCATCACAAGCATGCAGGGCGGCAGTCAATGTAGGAATGACAGTCAAAACAAAGATCAAATCTAAAAATGGATTATATAAAAGCAAGCATAAGCTTGCCTAATGGGGTCCTTCCGCAAGGGTCTGGAAAGAGGAGGTATTCCCTGCCTGTGTTCGCACGGTAGACACACACGGCACCGCGCTGTCGCCCCTTACGGGCCAGGCAGAAGCACCAACCCATCGCCGCTGCCGTGGTCCGCCTGCGTGATCGCGTGGTCACGTGGTCTGACAGACTGCGGCACCCTGGCCGTTGCCGCGGTCCGCCTGTGTGATCGCGTGGTCACGTGACGTGGCAGATCGCGGCATCCCCGGCGTCCGGATGGCCCACCCTGGCGGCTTAGAACTGGTGTTGCTAAGGGGGAACTGACTGGTAATTACACCCTTAGACGACGCCATATACATATAACGTATCGACATGCATACATAGATACGCTGCATACATATATATATATATATATATATATATATATATATATATATATGCTGCACATATAAGCTGCATACATAAGGCGTATATATTTATACACGTGCAGACGATGACGCCTGTACGCTGGTGGGCGTAGGCCAAAGGCGATTCATTCTTTGGTGGACTGGTATCCCTTTCGAAACGCTAACCAATGGCGCGGCGGTATTGTCTGTATACTCCTGCCTATACTCGTCGGGTACGAAAACGCAGCGAGCAAGCCTCAACGAGCACTGCCCACCAAAAGTCCGCGACAATAACAAAAAAGGTCAGATCTGTATTGCTCTGGTTGCACTGATAACATGGCACTGGGTTGAGCGGGTCCTCTCCAGGGACTGGGGTATACATTGCACGTGGAATGCGCAAGCCATATGTGGAATGCCTCACATGCGCCATCACGAAAACAACAAGTTTGTGGCTACCGTTCGGCAGCGGTGGCCCCTACGCGTCGCCTGCATAAATTGCCTCAGCAGCTTCACACACGCATGGAATGTGGGCCGTCTACGTTGACTGGAATGCATTTCGTGACCTTCGCCGTCTCCTTGCCGAGTTCCAACGTCCACTGCCTGTTCGCACAGGCCACAGAATGGCAATGCTACCATGACAGCCACGGCATCAATGACACGGCACACGGCGCTGTGTATGGGAGCGCTAGTTTGTGCATACATCGGATACACCATGGATAATTTGATGCTAATATTGTCTAGGCGTGACGTGGCGTATAAAACATCGAACCCGCCACCGTTATCTAAGCTACTCAACATCCCGCCAGTGGGAGCGGGGTGGTCAGTACTATTCGACGGCTGCGGGGTGCAACCCGCCATGCCGCCAGCCTTCCCCCGCCGCTGCCTCCGACCTCCAGTTACGCAAGCCGACGCACGACCTACCACCGCCTCCATCAAGGCGGGCCCGCTGCGCTGCGTATACGCTCGGTAACAGACCGCCAACCCATCCCCACCGACGTCACCGCTCCGCTCTCCACGCACCGCCGCGACCTCCGCCCTCCGCCCCTCCGCCTCGCCCCTCCCCGGCCCGGTCAGCCGATCCTCTGCAGGTAGGCGGCGTAGGCGCGGCGGGCGTACTCGCCGGCCGCCTCCGCGGGGCTCTCGGCGCGCGTCACGCCACGGCCGACGATGACCACGTCGGCGCCGCACTCGCCGACGGCCCGCTCCGGCGAGCTGTACTGCTGGCCGTGCGCGTCGGCGGCGGCGCTGACGCTGACGCCCGGCGTGAGCACGAGGAAGCGCGGGTCCGACGTCACCGACGACTGCGCCACGAACCCGCACGCGAAGTACGGGTGCGCCTCGGCCATCTTGACCGCCGCTGCGGAGAGGCGAGAGGAGGGGGCGTTAGAAGCGGGGACGGCTGTGGGATGGGCAGGGGGACGCAGGCAGTCAGGGAGGCGAACCACACGTCACACAACGCTGTGATGATACTGCACAGCACGGTGATGGTGACGAACGCAGACCTCAGAGCGGCAGCAGTCATGATAGGGCTAGCGCGGCGCCTCCAACGAGCGGATTGGGCAACCCGCGCACGCACGTGCACAGGCCCCCTTCACAGACAATGACACCGGGGCACACAGGCCTGTCCGCAGTGTGCAGCATCCGCGGCGGACGAGCGCCACGCCACGATCCGGTGGATGGTCGGGCTGCCCCGGGACTGCCGGCAGCCGACAGCGCCTTGGTAACACGTGCTCGACCAACAGTCCTGTCCTGTTCACCCCTCCCCCCCCCCCCCTCCCCCGCCCCGTCCCCGCCCTGATGGGCGGCACCGGCACCGGCGTTGCCAGACGAGGGACCTCCGCCAGCCGAGCACCATCCGGTGCAAGCCCCTCAAGCCCCGCCCGCTCGCGCCGCCTCCCGCCCCTCAGCCGGCGCCCACTGACCGGCCGTGTACTGGGCGGTGGCGAGAC